CATAAAGCATGGTAGCTAACACCAGACCACATACCACTTTTAAAAAGTCAAAAAAGCTGACTGTGAAATAAATAGGCTTAGCAGGCATTGTAGTCTATGTGACCCAGTGCATAAAAGCATAGCATGCCAAAGCAGGATACTTAAAATGAAAGATCCCAAAACAGGGAGCAAGCTAACAATAGCCCGTACATGTTTACAAAGAAAACCCCAAATAATAGCCGAAATTAAAAATAATTTAATTCTTGTAAAAAAAAAGTGCTTAATAAAATGCTAAAGCAGCATTGCACTTTTTAAGGATATATAATATTTTTGGGGTGTCTTGGAGAAGAACTGTCATCGCCCCCTTTTTCCCCATTGCAAACTGTGTATTTAATAAAAGATAAAATCGTTATGAAATACTCATACTGACTTTGTTAGAATTTCACTGACACTTCTAGACACTGGGCAGAGCAACCGCCATCTAGAAGTGTCAATCTCCCAATCCGTCACCAGCAACAGCTGCAGAGATATTAGCTGTGTCAATGGAGAATCCCATGGTCTCACCTTTCCCTTCCGCACTGACCACCGGACCACCAGCGGTGATGTCACCATCGGGAGTCTTTGAAAATTATGCAAAGATCCCATACCATGACAGTGCCACTTTAAATGTATAAAGCCGTGATAAAAGGAAGACAGGAAAGTTGGAAGTGTCAAGACAGCAAATGTGACAGAACCTCAGTTTATTTAAAAATGATTACAGATTTTCAATTTCATGTAAGAACAAGTAGGATGGCTATTCTTGGACAAATAATCATTACTTTATTTTTTAAATTTTAGGTGAAGCTGTGGGCACCCAAAGACCCTGACTCAAAGTTCCATTCAGAAACACTGTAACAATGAAATGGAGTATGACACATTGGGTTTCTAGGTACCATAACCACTTTAATTATTTTGTCCCTTTAATGTTGAGTTGTGCTATTAAAACTTTGTTTGAAGCATTAAAATGGATCAGTCACTTTCGGGGAACTTAGCAAATTTCACAAAGAACCCTGAAAGCTACAGATCTGGTGTGGGTCTGTTGGCCAAGCAATGCAACGGAAGGTAGGTTTTACTTATTCAAGCATGAGACTACAGCACTGAGGTCTATGGTGGCTCCAGAAAGATCACTGGAGCCTCCATAAATTGATGTTTGAATCCTACATCTGTCTGTTGTGAAGGCTGTTGGGATTGGACAAAAGTTGATGGCAACTTTTGTCTACCTATAATTAGACAAATTAGTATCTAAATAATATGTCAATGCAGATTTAAAAGTCAATATATCATAAATGATTGACGAATCGTCAGAATGATCTTCCTTGGTCAGTGGTTGCTACATAACGGATTGCAGTCTAGAACAATTAACAAAAATTTTTTTAGCTCCAACTATTTAAACAAATGTAGATGAAAGTGTTATGTATTTATTTTGGAACCGTCCTTTTTTGAGAATAATATGGAAAAAATGGTCCTTTATTAAAATGGCAAGGTTGAATCCACTACTCCAAAAAAAGTATAATAAATGGCTAATAATTTGATTCTGTTAAAGAAGCCATATGAGTTGGTCAAAATTGTTGTTGCTTGCAGGAGAACCAATGCAAGAAGAATATTGTTTACATATAATTTATAGCTAATAAAAATGAAAGAAAAATAAGAGCACAGGAAGAATAGAATTATATAAGTAATGTTTTATCATCAAGGAAAAAAATAATTTTGTGTTAAAGAACATAAGTAACGAGACTGTACAACAAAATGAGCAATTTCCTGGAGTTGCTGTATATTTTGTGAGGAGAGAACTTGCTGGCATTACAAATATGGATTGTATGGGATCTGATCCAAATGGTATAGGTTCTCTCTGTAATGGCTCATGTGAGCAAAAACAAAGACTAACCAAAGGTCAAGCTAGTGAGTTTATGTCAATTCTTAGAGTTCTCATATCTTCTGTTTGTTTTTGCTTTAGTACTTTGCAATCTATGTCTTGGTAATTATCAATTAATTAACTGCTAATCGTGACACTTTTAGCACTGTCAGTTCAGTGAAAAAGGACATTGTAGCATACTTTATGCAGTCATGTTTAAACAATCTTCTGGAAGTAAAGTTATTAAAGGACCACTATAGTGCCAGGAAAACATACTCGTTTTCCTGGCACTATAGTGCCCTGAGGGTGCCCCCACCCCCAGGGTCCCCCTACCACCCGGCTCTGGAAAGGGGAAAAGGGGTTAAACTTACCTTTTTCCAGCGCTGGGAGGAGAGCTCTCCTCCTCCGATCCTCCTTCTCTCCTCCCCGTCGGCTGAATGCGCACGCGCGGCATGAGCTGCGCGTGCATTCAGCCGGTCACATAGGAAAGCATTCATAATGCTTTCCTATGGACGCTTGCGTGCTCTCACTGTGAAAATCACAGTGAGAAGCACGCAAGCGCCTCTAGCGGCTGTCAATGAGACAGCCACTAGAGGATTAGGGGGAAGGCTTAACCCATTGATAAACATAGCAGTTTCTCTGAAACTGCTATGTTTATAAAAAAATGGGTTAACCCTAGTTGGACCAGGCACCCAGACCACTTCATTAAGCTGAAGTGGTCTGGGTGCCTAGAGTGATCCTTTAAGACTTTCACTGGAGTATCAGACAATTGGAAAATTCACTACCAAAAATAAAAATAGAATAGTCACTGAAAGAGTGCTTGCATATGAGCAAACCAAACACCACAGAAATCTTCACTGATTTAATGATGTTTGTGGGCAACCTTAAATAAATCAATAAATAGTTCCTGAATGCTGCAGCCAGGAGATGGATAATCAGATCTCTGGGCCCCCTCTTCACAAGGCACATTCCTGTGCCACTGGACCACCAGGGAATTGTGTGTCCCCCCTTCCTGCCCAGAGGTAAGAGATAGGGAGGGGGGAATACATATTAACATACATTTAAAAAAAATACATCCCTCCCCACATCCCACAAACACACATACACTATATCCAGTACACACCAATACAAACACACATACACTATATCCAGTACACACCAATACAAACATACATACACTCTACATCCAGTACACACTACTTCAAACACACATACACTACATCCAGTACACACCACTATAAACACACGTACACACACTGCATCCACTACACAAACACACATACACTACATACAGTCCATAAACACACACACTGCATCCACTACACAGACAAAAACATACTGCTTCCACTACACAAACACACATATACTGCATTTGGTACACACCAGTATATAAACACACACACAGACACTGCAAACACACACACAAACACTGCATCCACTACACTAGGATAACACACCCACAGAAACTGCATCCACTACGCAAACACACACATTACATCCACTACATAGACACAGACACTGCATCCCTTACACATACAATGCATCCACTACATAGACACACACACTACTTCCACTACACACACTGCAACCACTACACAATCACAGACACTGCATCCAGTTAACATACACACATACTGCATCCACTACACATGCATACACTGCATCCACTACACAAACATACACACTGCTTTAACTACACACACTGCATCCACTACACAAACACAGATACTGCATCCACTACACAAACACACACTGCATCCACTACACACAAAGACATTGAATCCACTACACACACACACTGCATTCACTACACAAACACAGACACTGCTAGCACTACACACACTGCATCCAGTACACAAACACAAACACTGCATCCATTACACACTCTGCATACAATACACAAGCTCAGGCAATTAATTACACATTGCATAAATTAATGTTAGCGTGTGTTGGAGAGTGTTTTTTTAGGAGGGTGGGGGATGGGGGGGGCAGGCAGCGTTTCATCTATGGACCCAGGCAGGACAATGCCTTGGGCTGGCCCTGGGCAGTTCTACAATAGGACACTGTGAATGCGCATTTAACAACACAATGATTGTTGACTAATAAGAATGGAGTACAAAATGTTAGAAAGTGATACTCTAAACATGTTTTTTTTTACCATCTGCTGAAACTGTGCAGCAGTCTTTTCTGGAGTACTTGATTGCTAAAATGCATGTCGCTGTGTGTTTCACTTAAATTTGCAGCACATGCAAGGGGTGGAACAGATAGGGTTTGGCTTTTTCCTGTTGAAAGAATGCTTTATTCCTGCCTGCCCTTACAGAGTCACAAAAACATCAATATGCCTGGCCTGTGACATGTTTAACAACAGATCTGTGTCTATGGCAACAGGCTAAATGGCACATCAGAATAATTGTCTATAATTATGCATATTTGAAACCACTGGGTATGGTTCTCTTTATGGTTCCTAGATAAGCCCTACCTTGGTGCACTCACCGCCATTGAAGCAGTGCATAGCTGCCTAGTTCGCCTTATAGTGAGAGATTTTATTCACTTACTTTTCTGCCTTTAAACCCCACTCTAGCCAACAATCCACTGTGAACATTCTGCAGCCTGCTAGCCAAATGTCACTTTATATAATTTTTATCATTTTTGAATAGTACGTATGAGTGATCATATAATACATTCTGTATACCTGAGGAAAAGTGATATGTTACTTAGTGATCAAGATGTCAAGCTCTTCTTAAAGGACCACTATAGTGCCAGGAAAACATACCCTCAGGGACCCCCTCCCGCCCGGCTCTGGAAAGGGGAAAGGGGTTTAAACTTACCTTTTTCCAGCGCTCGGCGGGGAGCTCTCCTCCTCCGATCCTCCTCTTCTCCTCCCATGCGGCTGAATGCGCACA